CTTTCTGGTGGACACCAGGAAGACTGGCATCCTCAGAGACAGTTGGTAGTTCCAACTAAATACCGGGCCAAGCTCTTGAGCTTAGCGCATGATCACCCTAGTGGCCATGCTGGGGTGAACAGGACCAAAGACCGTTTTGGGGGGTCATTCCACTGGGAGGGAATGGGCAAGGATGTTTCTACCTATGTCCAGTCTTGTGAGGTGTGCCAAAGAGTGGGAAAACCCCAAGACTAGGTCAAAGCCCCTCTCCAGCCACTCCCCATCATTGAAGTTCCATTTCAGCGAGTAGCTGTGGATATTCTGGGTCCTTTTCCGAAAAAGACAGCCAGAGGAAAGCAGTACATACTGACTTTCATGGATTTTGCCACCCGATGGCCGGAAGCAGTAGCTCTAAGCAACACCAGGGCTAAAAGTGTGTGCCAGGCACTAGCAGACATTTTTGCCAGGGTAGGTTGGCCCTCCGACATCCTCACAGATGCAGGGACTAATTTCCTGGCAGGAACTATGAAAAACCTTTGGGAAGCTCATGGGGTAAATCACTTGGTTGCCACTCCTTACCACCATCAAACAAATGGCATGGTGGAGAAGTTTAATGGAACTTTGGGGGCCATGATACGTAAATTCGTAAATGAGCACTCCAATGATTGGGACCTAGTGTTGCAGCAGTTGCTCTTTGCCTACAGAGCTGTACCACATCCCAGTTTAGGGTTTTCCCCATTTGAACTTGTATATGGCCGTGAGGTTAAGGGGCCATTGCAGTTGGTAAAGCAGCAATGGGAGGGATTTACACCTTCTCCAGGAACTAACATTCTGGACTTCGTAACCAACCTACAAAACACCCTCCGAACCTCTTTAGCCCTTGCTAGAGAAAACTTACAGGATGCTCAAAAAGAGCAAAAAGCCTGGTATGATAAACATGCCAGAGAGCGTTCCTTCAAAGTAGGAGACCAGGTCATGGTCTTAAAGGCGCTCCAGGCCCATAAAATGGAAGCATCGTGGGAAGGGCCATTCACGGTCCAGGAGCGCCTGGGAGCTGTTAATTATCTCATAGCATTCCCCACCTCCAACCGAAAGCCTAAGGTGTACCATATTAATTCTCTAAAGCCCTTTTATTCCAGACAATTAAAGGTTTGTCAGTTTACAGCCCAGGGAGGAGACGACGCTGAGTGGCCTGAAGGTGTCTACTACGAAGGGAAATGTGCTGGTGGTGTGGAAGAGGTGAACCTCTCCATGACCCTTGGGCGTATGCAGCGACAGCAGATCCAGGAGCTGTGCACTAGCTACGCACCAACATTCTCAGCCACCCCAGGACTGACTGAACGGGCATACCACTCCATTGACACAGGTAATGCTCACCCAATTAGGGTCCAACCTTACCGGGTGTCTCCTCAAGCTAAAACTGCCATAGAACGGGAGATCCAGAATATGTTACAGTTGGGTGTAATCCGCCCCTCTGAAAGTGCATGGGCATCTCCAGTGGTTCTAGTTCCCAAACCAGATGGGGAAATACGTTTTTGCGTGGACTACCGTAAGCTAAATGCTGTAACTCGCCCAGACAACTATCCAATGCCACGCACAGATGAACTATTAGAGAAACTGGGACGGGCCCAGTTCATCTCTACCTTGGACTTAACCAAGGGGTACTGGCAGGTACCGCTAGATGACTCTGCCAAGGAAAGGTCAGCCTTCACCACCCATCTCGGGCTGTATGAATTTAATGTACTCCCTTTCGGACTGCGAAATGCACCCGCCACTTTCCAAAGACTTGTAGATGGTCTCCTAGCGGGATTAGGAGAATATGCAGTTGCCTACCTTGACGATGTGGCCATATTTTCGGATTCCTGGGCAGACCACCTGGAACATCTACAAAAAGTCCTTGAGCGCATAAGGGAGGCAGGACTAACTGTTAAGGCTAAGAAGTGTCAAATAGGCCTAAACAGAGTGACTTACCTTGGACACCAGGTGGGTCAAGGAACTATCAGCCCCCTACAGGCCAAAGTGGATGCTATCCAAAAGTGGCCTGTCCCAAAGTCAAAGAAACAGGTTCAATCCTTCTTAGGCTTGGCCGGTTATTACAGATGATTTGTACCGCACTACAGCCAAATCGCTGCCCCACTGACAGACCTAACCAAAAAGAAACAGCCAAATGCTGTTCAGTGAACTGGAAAGTGTCAGAAGGCCTTTAACAAGCTTAAAGCGACACTCATGTCTGACCCTGTACTAAGGGCCCCAGACTTTGACAAACCGTTCCTAGTAACCACAGATGCGTCCGAGCGTGGTGTGGGAGCAGTTTTAATGCAGAAAGGCCCTGATCAAGAATTCCACCCTGTAGTGTTTCTCAGCAAAAAACTGTCTGAAAGGGAAAGCAACTGGTCAGTCACTGAAAAAGAATGTTACGCCATTGTCTACGCTCTGGAAAAGCTACGCCCATATGTTTGGGGACGGCGTTTCCACCTGCAAACCGACCATGCTGCACTGAAGTGGCTTCACACCGTCAAGGAAACTAACAAAAAACTTCTTCGGTGGAGTTTAGCTGTCCAAGATTTTGATTTCGACATCCAACACATCTCAGGAGCTTCTAACAAAGTGGCTGATGCACTCTCCCGTGAAAGTTTCCCAGAATCAACTGGTTAAAATCGTCCTTGAGATGTGGAAAATATTGTTAGTCTTTATGTACTTGGTAGTATATTTAGAGATGCATGTGACTTATTAACTCTGTTTTTCCTAGAGCTCCAGGAAGAAATCCCAGCCAGTGTTTCACCCTAGCTGAGATTTGGGGGGCGTGTCATAAATATAAAGGGAAGGGTAAACCCCTTTGAAATCCCTCCTGGCAAGGGGAAAGCTCCTCTCACCTGTAAAGGGTTAAGAAGCTAAAGGTAACCTCGCTGGCACCTGACCAAAATGACCAATGAGGAGACAAGATACTTTCAAAAGCTGGGAGGAGGGAGAGAAACAAAGGGTCTGTGTGTCTGTCTATATGCTGGTCTTTGTCGGGGATAGACCAGGAATGGAGTCTTAGAACTTTTAGTAAGTAATCTAGCTAGGTATGTGTTAGATTATGATTTCTTTAAATGGCTGAGAAAAGAATTGTGCTGAATAGAATAACTATTTCTGTCTGTGTATCTTTTTTGTAACTTAAGGTTTTGCCTAGAGGGGTTCTCTATGTTTTTGAATCTAATTACCCTGTAAGATATCTACCATCCTGATTTTACAGGGGGGATTTCTTTATTTCTATTTACTTCTATTTTTATTAAAAGTCTTCTTGTAAGAAAACTGAATGCTTTTTCATTGTTCTCAGATCCAAGGGTTTGGGTCTGTGGTCACCTATGCAAATTGGTGAGGCTTTTTATCCAACATTTCCCAGGAAAGGGGGGGTGCAAGTGTTGGGAGGATTGTTCATTGCTCTTAAGATCCAAGGGTCTGGGTCTGTAGTCACCTAGGCAAATTGGTGAGGCTTTTTACCAAACCTTGTCCAGGAAGTGGGGTGCAAGGTTTTGGGAAGTATTTTGGGGGCAAAGACGCGTTCAAACAGCTCTTCCCCAGTAACCAGTATTAGTTTGGTGGTGGTAGCGGCCAGTCCAAGGACAACGGGTGGAATATTTTGTACCTTGGGGAAGTTTTGACCTAAGCTGGTAAAGATAAGCTTAGGAGGTTTTTCATGCAGGTCCCCACATCTGTACCCTAGAGTTCAGAGTGGGGGAGGAACCTTGACAGGAGCTTACATTTTAAATTAACTCAAAAGTCAGCGACTGCCTCCCCCACAAAAAAAAGATTATAGTGAGTGAAGATAGTAGAGGGAAGAGAAACTGATGGCAGAAGGGGGACCTTGTTGGTTCGTGCAGTCTTGATGACCATTTTGTTCTTGGCCTCACTCTTAAAAAAACGCCAACAGAGTTGCCCGTTCTGCTCGTGTATTTATTGGATACCTGTTGACGAAGACTGAGAGCACCAACTGATGCCACATAGCCTACCAAACTGCTGTTGAGTGGCAAGGGCTTTCAGTTGCTCCTCTCTTGGGCTATATTTGAAAGAGGCCTATAATGGAAAGCTGTGTATAACAGGGCAAATCCTCTGAGCCAGTCAGCTCTACTTTGTTTCTCAGAAACAAAACAAAACAAAAAACCAGGTTAGAGCACACAACCTTAATTTGACAAGTTCTATTTTAAAAAATGGCAAGATTTTCACTTGGCCAACAGAGAGAATAAAGGACACATCAAAAGACACAGAGAAGTGGATAGGGAGAGCCATCTCTTTGCAGCTGCTATGGTCCTGCCATGCAGGTGGAAGGGTAGGGAATAGATGGAGCCTTAGCTCTGCTACATACCACCCAAATTTCTTCCCCCCTCTTTTCCTCCCCAGGGCAAGTGAGGAAGCAGGATAGAGTTGTCACAATGCATTCCCTCATCGTAGAATTGCCAACCCTCCAGGGCTGGCCTGGAGTCTCCAGGAATTAAAGATTAATCTTTAATTAAAGATGTCATGTGATGAAATCTCCTTGAATACATCCAACCAAAATTGGCAACCCTTCCTCATCAGCTCCTGGGCCAACACATTTGCATACTGCCTCTTACTCAGAGTAAATACTATTGTTACAATCTAACCCTGAGCTACTTTTGTATTTGGGGCGGTGGGGGGGGAAGGTTTAGGTGACCTGCTAAAGTAAACTTAAAAAATTCAGCAGCTTTAACCGTATGTCCTGAATGCCCCCAACAGCTGCAAGCTAAGAAGGGCATTCAGCACATAATTACCTTCAAACTGACTTTTTTCTTTTTAGTGTCCATGAGTCTATCCTTGCTATGGCTGGCTGGCTCCCACGCCAAGTGATGCCCCAGCATGCGCAATGCTGGTGATGTAAAAGCCACCATTGAAGTATGAGACAAGCAGTGGGGGAGGGGTCAGGTAAATGCCATTCTGAAAATATATATTGCAATTATTTTATTTGTCTTTATAAAAAGATTTTGCAAAACCATGCAATATTTATTTTTAAAAAGGAAACTTACATGACCCCCAAGGATATGCCATCTGAATATGGCTTCCTTGATAGTTGTGATGTTCCTGGAGATGGCAGTTGGGTAGCCATGGGTCAGATATTTTTCTGAAAAAGAAAATAAGTCAGTCCTGTGCCGAATGTTTCAATCAGCCTGACTACAGGGGATATTCAGCAGCTGTAGTTTAGTGGAATGATTTCATTTACGTTTGACAGAGCATCTTTAAAAATCATCACTACTAATTTATCATATTTACAGTTGGGCTTTTTTTTAATTTTTGAAGTTTTTCTCTGCTGGAACAGGTTGGAGCAAAATAGTTGGCTGAGACCATGTATATCAAAATGCATCCTGGAATGAAGTTTTACAGAAGAATTAAAACCTCACAAAGTTATAATTACATCAGCACAAACACAATGCTATAATGAACCTGACAAGTAGCTGCTGGCAGTACGGAAGTGATTTACGTTGTGCTTTAGAGCTGGGGAATTGAGAATCTCCAGTTCTGGTTCTCTAATATGATGGTTTAAATATAGCACAGAGGAGATGGGCAAAGATTTCATTACCAAGCATTCCCTCTTGGCCATCAAAAGTATTTTAAGTCAAGTCACCTTCTAAGAAGAGGAGGATGCTTTGTCTAATCCTTCTATATACATTATACTGAAAGTAATGAGGGGGGAAAGGGCCAACTAGGAGGATTTGATAAAACCTCCAGCCTCCATCTACTACATGCATATGTGCACTCAGGTAGCCACAGTCCTGTAGTGTGAGGGTGTGTCTACACTGTAATAAAACACCCACAGCTGGCCCATGTTAGCTGATTCGGGGTCGCAGGGCTTGGGCTGTGAGGCTATAAAATTGCAGTGTAGATGTTCAGGCTTGAACTGGAGCCTGGACTCTGGGACCCTGCAATGGGGGAGAGTCCCAGAGCCCAGGCTCCAGCCTGAGCCTGAATGTCTGTATCACAACCTGCATCCCAAGCCCCATGAGCCTGAGAAAGCTGACTTGGGCCAGCCGTGGGTGTTTTATTGCAGTGTAGACATACCCTGAGTCTCTGTGGTGATAGTAAATGTCAGGACTCCTCAAGATGTTGGATAGGAGGCATAGTGAGACCAGCCTGAAAGAAGATGCCTGCAAAAGATTTTCCTTTTAAAATATAAAATCATCTAATTTTATAAGTGTTTGTAATGTCTTGTGGCCTGCAGTCATTGTTTTGCTGCCAATGTATGTTGTTAAAATGGATTGTGATTTCACACTAGAGTTATTGCTGTCTTTTGGCATCAGTTAAATTCCTTTCCCATGGTTTCAGTGTTGAGGAGAACACTGATAGCATTAGAAAGGATTGTATTCCTAGGAGGCTCTGTTTGTTCCCAGTGGTGAATCAGTTTTTATTCCTAGCAAGTTTTCTTTCCAATCATTTTCATTAACTTTGTTTTACCATTACATTCACAGGTTGACTAACTTGAGTATTTTCAGGCTCATTGTTTTTAAACTGAGTCATATGCAGATTAACATTTTCTAAACATTCTTCCAATCAAAAAAATTTCATGTTTGGAACTTGGAAGAAACTTTTATCTAATTCAATACAAGGCATGCTCATAGCAGCAGCCTGCAAGAAAAACACCTGTTCACATGAAATATATGCCTCTACAGCAAGTGAATAGTACTGTAATATTTCACAATGCTTTAAATCCCATGAGCCAAAATCTATTTTAAGTGGTAGGGCGGGCTACACATACTTCAGAATCAATTAATGGTTATAACGTTACAAATGTCGAGTCCACATTTCCTGAAACGTTGCTGAATGACAAGCTGTTAGTAAAATCCTACCATTAAAGTTGAAATTCCACTTAATATAAAGTGTTAGCTGCTGTTTTATCAGCATAATGAATTGGACAAGCAGAGACTGCCTCCAGAATCAAGCTTCTGCACAGGCCAAAGTTCACTGCTATTTAAAGCAAACAAAAATGCATCTCGGTAGTCATCCCTTTGTAGGATTTGCTATGTCCGTGTTGTAAATCAGCAAGAATTTTGTACATCTCAATGTTGGCAATGCAGTAGAAATGCTAATATCCTATTATTTAGCATGTTAGTACTTGACTGTTGATTTCAGTAAAGGCGTGGTGTACCCAAAAACCTGTTATACTAGGATGTGATTTCTTAGGATGTGTTATATTAGGATGTGGTACCTGGAAATCATGCTGGTTTTTTGGTTCCCATCTGTGCACTTAAAAATGAACAAATCATTCTAAAGTATGTAAATTTTGAGGGCCTGATTTTGTTTTAAGAATAAATCTGATTTTTCTTTCATCTTTAGTTTTTAGTCTTCTTTATTTCAATGCACGAAAAATTGTAAAGTTGAGTGGATGATTTCTTCTTTGTTCCCACTCTACTTGTGCACAGAAAGCAACTGTCTCTCCTTTATTTTTTATTGTATTATTTTCCTAATACACCTCAACCCCGATATAATGCGGTCCTCAGGAGCCAAAAAATCTTACTGCTCTATAGGTGAAACCGCGTTATATCGAACTTGCTTTGGCCCCCCTGCTTCTTGTCCCCTAACCACCCCCTCCAGAGACCCTCCCCATCCCTAATCATCCCCAGGACCCCACCCAACCCTCCTGCTCCCTGTCTCCTGACTGCTCCGACCCCTATCCACACCCCTGCCCTCTGACAGGCACTCACCGGCAGCGGCGGAAAGCGGAGCAACGTGGCCCCAGCCCGCTCCACTCCGCCAGCTCCCAGCCGCGGCGCTCTGCTTCCCGCCTCCAGTGAGTGTGGGGAGGTTGGGGAAAGAACATCCTCCGCTCTTACCTGCGGCGGGAAGCGGAGTGACACGGCCCCAGCCCACTCCGCTTTCCTTGCCCCGGCCCCAGTCATGTTGCTGGGGTGGCCGGGGGGTGGTTGGGGAAAGGTCCTTCACTCACCGGCCGCGGGAAACAGAGCGCCGCGGCTAGGAGCTGGCAGAGTGGAGCAGGCTGGGGCCGAGCTCCTCCACTTCCGCCGCTGCCGGTGAGTCTGTGGGGGGGTGGGATCCCTTCCCCCAATCCCCCTCCTCCAAGCGACATGGCTAGGGCTGGGGCGAGGGAAGCAGAGCAGGCTGTTCCCAGCCCCCCACTAATCACCCGGGCCACTCTGGGCCTGCGGGGCCCCCAAAAGTGCCCACCACAGCTCCCACCTCCCAGACCATGGGGGGGGAGGCCCTGCCCCTGACTGCCCCCTGAGACCCTCTGCCCCTTATCCAACCCCTCGGCCCCGGCCCAGCACCCTTAACATGCCGCTCAGAGCAGCGTGTCAGAGCCTGACGCCCTGATCCGCCAGAGCGCGCAGTCCCACCCCCCAGAGCGCTGCTTTACCACATTATATCCGAATTCATGCTATATCGGGTCAGAGGTGTAATAGAGGAAACATTGTCTGGCAGGACAAGAAATCAGGAAATCCAGCTTTTATTACTAGCTTTACCATAAATTTCCTGTGTGACCTTGGGCAAATCACTGAACAGCTTTGAGTTTTGTTTCCTTGTCTCTAAATTACATGGGTGTTGTGAGGCTTAACTTAATTTTTGATGGAAGGTCGGATAGAACAAAAACAAAAATATTATTTGTTAACCATCAACAATATTCGTAGCGCTTGGGGGAAATCTGATTGTTCAGAAGCCTGGAACAAGTAGAAATGTCCCCTGGGTAAGCACAAGTGTCAGGTTTCTTGCTTGCTAAAAAAAAAAAAAAAAGGTAATGGGGCTGCAGCAGTGGACCAGTCAGAAGGGAAGGGTATGGGCTGAATTGATTTCAGCCTCGCAACTAGAGCCTGCCAGAAGGCAATGTAGTGTAGTGGACAGAGCATTGGACTGGGAGTCGGGAAACCTTAATGCCATTTCTGGCTCTGCCACTAGAATGCTGAGTGACTGCGGGCAAGTCACTTCAATCATTCAGTGCCTCAGTTTCCCCATGTGTAAAATGGGGTTAATGATACTGACTTTCTTTGTAAAGCCCATTGAGATCTACTGTGAAAAGCACTGCTCAAGAACGAGGCATTATAATTATTAACAACTGAATTTCACTTCCATGAAAAATGTCAAGGTTTGGGGAAATGTTTCACCTCCAATTGGGATTAAATGCCCAAACCTCTAAATTGTTTGTGAGAGTGAAATTCCACAATATTTTGACTTGGAAACACCAAAATGTTCCTACAGTGAAATATACTCCCCAGGCGCCCTGGGAGCCCTGGCTCTGTGACAGCGTGCCAGGGTGGTGGGCAGGTGAACTGGCAGGAAACCAGGCAGGTTTCAATTAAAAATCTGGCTGAGTTCTATCAGAAGTGTTGTCAAAATGGACTATTTTGATTTTGACAAATTGGCACTTTCCAACGGGAAAACATGCATTGGGAAGATCTGTGACCAGCTCTACACACAAGTAATGCCACTGTTGAGCATGCCTTGGGCTGAGGCTGAGCCTCTTTTGATGCGTTGCCCATCAGTGCTCTGATCAAAGTTTTGATTTGACTTACGAGGGGAGTAGTTGACCTTGACTCTTCAGTTATATTAAAGTCATTTGGAAGAAATTATCTTTGCTAAAAGGGCAAGCAAGAGTTTAATTTTCCAGTCAAGCTAGAATAGCTTTATAGAGTACACTTAAATAGTTCATTCCAATTTTAGAGGTATTCTCGATTCCAGCAGTATCCCCCATTTTAAGTATAGGGTCTATCATTAACATTAGTAATACCTGTACAACTGACATGAACATTTTAAGTGTGCCCGTAATAGGAGTTTTTAGAAACTTTCAAACTTAACAGCAGCAGCTGCAAGACACAGTTTGATTTGGTTTTAGAAGGACAATAGGCAAAAATACGTTATTTTTTGCCAGAAAGGGAAGTATAGTTTAATTTCCCACTCAAACCAAAATAGGTTTTGTAGTTAAACTATAATTAGATTACTTGCTACTGCAGCTACAAAACACAATCTGATGTGATTTTCCGGAGAAGTTTCTCTCTAATAGTTGGTTACACTCTTACGCTGCTGCCAGCGCCAGGCTGTTTAATTATTGCAAATAAAATATTGATTTAGTTACTATTTTAAAAGTATTTGTGAAAAACAAGGTGCTTATACACACAAATTTAGTTGATATTCATTTTTAAAAATACCTGGAACAAATCAAAAATGGGAAAAATACCCACCACCATAATCAGCCAAGGTAGGGCCTGCGGCCAGTTAAGAGTAAACATGTTGCACAGAAGTGTATGCTAATCAATAGGAGAAACAGGAAGATTGAAGGAAGCACTGAGTGCATGTTTTACCACGGTACAGTCTTCAAATTATCAAAGCATTTGCCAACTTACGCTGGTCCTGAGGGAGCACTTCCGTAAAGATTTTGTGAGATTTTGAGTCCATTGTAGATAGCTATTTGTTTCATTTCTTTAGTAAGATAGCTTTTATAATAGCAATTAGTTCAGCCAGACTTGTAAGCAAGTTACATGCCCACATGGCAGACCCTCCATTTACTGTATTTCATGGAGATACGGTTGTCCTTCAGCCTTGCCTTAGAGTCCTTCCTCAGGGTTTTCTCAACCTGAAACTATGGTAACTTATATTTTTCTATCTCCAGGTGGTTTCAGGAAATAAATCAGTGGGGACACAGTTCCTCCATCTGATAAATGAGTGGTTCAAATGAGAGTGCTTTCACCCAAAAATCTTTTTTGAGTTCAAAGCACACAACTGAAATAGCAATAGTCTAGAGCAACCCAGATATAGTTACCCAAAGTCTGAGGTGATGTCAAATGGTCAGCAGCAGGCTTCTGGTGGCCAACCTTCCTCCCAGCCACTGGGGAGTTGGATGTCAGCCTCCTAACGCATAGGAAACCTCTCCCAAATTACACACTCTGACTGATCTTTTTATAGGTTGCTCAAAACAAAGCTAGTAATAACTCATAATAACCCCTTGCAAATTAGCAATTTTTCTAACATCAGCAAGCAACTCCTAGTCATAACATCAGTTATTTCTAACTTTCTGGTGTTCTCGCTCCCAGTTAATTATGGCTGAATGCACAAAATGGCTGTGGTATTGTCAGGTCAGTTTAACTCATGACAGTGTCTGAATTCCATATTAATCAAAAGATTAGTTTATCAGTTTTCTTTCCTAGACATGCTCATAAAGGAGAATTCAAGTTACTGCCTTAGATGCTCAAAGAGCTTTAGCTTATTATCCTAGCAGGACTGAAGAGTTTTGAAAATCCCCTATTTTTTGTTTATTTCCTACACTGACAACTGAAAAGGTCACATTATTTCTTCACAGTCACTATCTAGATGGGTTACACAGTGTATAGTACAGGTATATAAGACTGCATCTATTTCTCCTCTTACTGAGGGTAGAACGTACTTGAGTAGGGCAATGACTACCTCTTTATCATACCTCAGATGTTGCAATAGTTGCAATATGTAAGGCTGCCACATGGAGTTCTGTTCGTACCTTTATAAAACACTATTCCTTAGATCTGGCATCTAGAGCAGCTGCTCAATTTGGTAGGGAAGTACTCCAATCCCTATTCAGTTAGGACTCAGAGTGCCACCATCCATTAATGGGGTACTGCTTCCCAAATTCAAGGCAAGGGACTTTCAAAGAAGAAATAGAGTTACTTACTTGGAACCAGAGTTCTTTGAGATGGTCTCTGGATATTCACACTCCTTGCCCACCTTCCGCTCTTTGTTGGAGTTCCATAAAATTCTGCCTCTGAGGAAGCAGTGGAAGGAACTGAGGTGGCACAGGACACTACACCCCTTTTTATAGCCTCTCCCTCAGAACATTAAGGAACACTAAGAGCAGGAGTCGGAGGGATGCTTGAGCACTATAATGAGCACTGATACAAGAAGGTTGCACTATCTGAGCTGCATTGGCCAGTGCACCCCATGAGTATGAATATGCAGAGTCAGTCTCAAAGAACTCCAGTTCCAAGAAAGTGACCTCCACTTTTAACACCAGATGGAATCATTAGATCATCTAGCTTGACGTCTTGTCTAACACAGACCATGTAACATCATCCAGTTACTCCAGTAATAAGCCCAATAGTATATTCAGAAAGGCAGCCAGTCTTGACTTGAAGACCTCAGTAGATCACCTTCTCTGTTAAAAATTAGTGCTTTATTTCTAACTTGAAGTGGTCTTGCTTTAACTTCCAGCCATTGGTTCTTGATATGCCTTTCTCTGCTAAAGAAAAACAGAGAAAACAGAGAAAACATGAAGATACTCATACATGGTTTTCTTTCCATGAAGATACTCATACATGGTAATCAAGTCACCTTTCCATCTTCTTTTTGATAAGCTAATCAGATTGACCTCCTTAAGTCTCTCTCTGTAAGGCATTTTTCCAGGCTTTGAATAATTTTTGTGGATCTCTAGTTTTTCAATATTCTTTTTAAAAGTGTGGACATCAGAACTGGATGTAGTTTTCCAATATTGTCCTCACCCATGCAGTACACAGAAGTAAAATCACTTCCCAACACATACGCATTGCTCCCCTATTTATACATCTAAGAATTGCATTGGTCTTTTTTGCCAGAACATCATACTGGGGGCTCATGCTGAGTTGCTTGGCCACTATGAACTGTTAATCTTCTGTAGCAGTGATACTCAGACTTCTGTGGTTCAGGAGCCAAATTAGCAATCAACATTACTCCAAAGAGCCACAGTAGTGTGAGTTCATTGTTTCATTTACTATTACTATTAATGTGTGTCTGTGTATATTTATTACTCTCACAGCAAAGTGACTGACCAAGTGTTGTACAATTGGTTAATAACATAGTAAAAGCATCCTGACCGGTTAATAACTTAGATTGGTTGTTAATTACATTGCACACTGCTTTAATATCATGTGCTGCAAAGAGCACCAGGAGACACATTAAAGAGCCACATGAAGCTCCTGAGCCTCAGTCTGAGTATCACTGTTTTACAGGGTAAAGTAAATCAATCAGCTGTCAATCTATAACCCTTACTGAAGGAAAAATATTACTTTCTATTCAGCAC